ATTCCATCACTGAACTAGTGCATTGGGAAGAGAACTAATCATAATGGGGCAGGGGATTTCCTAGACCTTTAAGTATGTATTTTTACCCCAGTTCCCCTTCACCAGTCATGATTGTTGGGATAATCTGTGATCCCAAATCTTCAATGTAAAGACGAGTGAGTCCTATAAAACAGAGTTTTAGGCATATTTCACTTGAATTCTTCTTTTATGTCCTAATTGTATAGTAGTGACATGTTTTAGCCCTAAATTTCTGGATTTCATCAGTGGAATAAAAAGAGAAATGCCACATGAAGGATGATCACGAATCAGAAAGTGATTTGAAAAAGAAAACAACCATGTTAGCCAGACATGGTGGTGCATACATGCCTGTGATTCCAGCCAGAAGATCTCAAGCTGAAAGTTTAGACTGTGCTAGACAGCGGGATCCTGTCTCAAAAAATACAAAGGAGGAGAGAAAAAAGAGGAGGAGAAGGAGGAGGAGGAGGAGGAGGAGGAGGAGAATATCCACACGGAACTCTAGGGTTTTTTTTTAAAATATGGGCATGTGTCTATGTATATATGTGTGTGGGGAGGAGGGTTGCATTATCACAGAGGCCCATAGAGACCAGAGGCATCAGATCCTTCCAGAGCTTGAGTTATAAGCAGTTATAAGCTGCCTGGTGTGGATGCCAGGAACCGAACTCAGGTCATCTGCAAGAAGAGTATGTGCTCTTAACCGTTGAGCTATCTCTCCATCAAGAGGTGATTCTTTCTATTGTGGGGAGATGATTATCCCAACAATCACTACATTTCCCATTTTAGATACACCATTCTATTACATTCCCCACATTTATATTATTGAACAACCACAGTGAATTATCAAAAATTTTCATCATTCCAAAGAGTAATTGTTCACTCAGCAGTAACTCCCCATTCTCACACCCCCCAAGACCCAGCTACTCCTGCCTCTCTATTACTACATCTCTATTAATACGCTACTGTCAAATACCTGTACCTCATGTACATAGACACAGACAATGTTTGCCCTTTTACCCCTGGCATGGTTGGTACAATGCTCTCTGAGTTCATCTGTATTGCAGTTTGTACTAAATTTTCATTCCTTTTCAGGATTAAATAATATCCCACTCTGTAGCTATACCACATTTCATTTATTCAACTCTTGAACAATTTGGTCATCTCCACCCTGACCTGATAAGACTAGCACAGTTATGAGCATGGATATCTGCCAGAGCACTTTAAGCAAAAGTAAAACTTACATTTCAGGAGAAAAAAGTCCCTTATGTCAGCCTTTATTTCTGCCCCTATATAAAGGGGTAGAAACCCCACCAGTGATTCACAGAGACAGTTATTATTATCAAGTTAACTGAGAAGGCCGAGAGAGAGAGAGAGAGAGAGAGAGAGAGAGAGAGAGAGAGAGAGAGAAGAATACACCATCACAGGGGTGGGAATGTCAGAAAACATCTACTGCCTGAGGGCTGGTGAAAGCTAGAATCACGCACAGAACAGGGGAGGCGCCCCAGGAAGCAATGCTCTGGCTTTGAGGAGCAGGATGCAGGAAAGGTAGTGTACTGGCTTTGTATTCAGAGGAAGAAACCCTTGCATCAGGTGTCTCCACATTCCAAACCAGGCATCGCCTGTCCGCTGCTGGGGCTGGTGTCCAAGTGCATGTGAAGACAGTTTCTGTGGGCGCTGGAAAGAGTGGAAACTGATTCAAATGCTACTACTGGAATGAAGTGTTGAGCAAAGAAGGGATGGGAGTAATCAGATAAAGACAATAAGCCACAAGATGGAAAAAGTTCCTTCTCACCCCCTTTCCTGTGACCTTCCTCCAGTGCTTGCCCCCCTGGGGCAGATGTGGGGTGCAGAGTCCCAAATCGAGAAAGATGGGTTCAAAGACAGGATAAACTCTTCTTCCTAGTAGAAGAGTTCTAGATATATATGTGGAAAGAAAGAAGTTGATGAGCCTGGAGTCTGAATAAAGTGCAAGTTGGGTTTATTCTCAGGAGACAGTCGATAGCAGGAACCTTCAATTTGATGTCCCTATATCGAGATTAGTCATTAGTCACCCCTTTCCTGTGTAACTTCATCCACGGACCATAGCTGATTAACCCACTGACCTTACTTGATTCAAGCAGCGTTTGGATTGTCTTTCTGTGCTTTGAAATGTTTAAAAGATACACATGAAATGTGGAGACTGTTAGAGTTGGGGTCAAGTAAGTGAATCTGCAGACACCTGCTGCATTGGTTACTAGAGGCGAACTGTCCCTTGTGATAACCAGAATGGGCACCCATGATTTCACGTGTTATCTACACTCCCAGAGCTTACATTCCAGGATCATTGGAGGCACTTTAACAAATGTCACCACTCAGGGGCGCTAAGTGTTGTCAAAGAAGGAAGTAGAGTGGGTGAACTGTGGGTACCACATAGCAGGGGCACTCGGGCTCGTGGATTGGGACGAGAAGTAGAGAATCAGGAATAGGATAAGTATCAGAGAGGGCCAAGCCTTCTAGACACTGATCCCAGAGGCAAAAGACATAAAGTTTGAGGAGATGAAAGTAATGTAGCAAGGCTAACATAAAGAAGGAGGTGGGAACTGGACTATGTACTGTCTAGATTTATGTCTATTTGACACAAACTAGAGTCATGGAAGAAGAAAAGCTCAGTTTAGAAAATGCCTTCATAAGATCTGCATGTGAGTCAGCCTGTAAAGCATTGTCTTAATTTGTGATTGATGGGAAATAGCCAAACCCATTGTGGGTGGGGCCATCCTGAGCTTCTATGGGAAAGTAGGCTGTGCAAGCCATGGGAAGCAAGCCAATATGCAGCACCCCTTCATGGTCTCTGCATCAACTCCTGCCTCCAGGTTCCTGCCGTTTGAGCTCCTGTCCTGACTTCTTTTGATAATGAACAGTGCTGTGGAATTTTAAGTCAAATATATATTTTCCTCCCCATCTTGCTTTTTGGTCATGGTGTTTCATTACAGCAATAGAAACCCTAACTAAGACAAGGGGGTACCAGCATGGTGGGGTGTTGATGGGACAGACCTGACCATGTTTCAGGGAAGACTGTGGAAGGACTGTGGAACTTAGGGGTAGAGAAGTCATTGAGTGTTGAGAGCACAATGAGATGTTATTGAATGGAGGTCGCTTGTTGTTCCCAGCCTCGTGGCTAGCTTAACCCCAACATAATACACAGAAACTATGTTATTTAAATCACTGCTTGGCCCATTAGCTCTAGCTTCTTATTGGCTAACTCTTACATATGAATTTAACCCATTTCTACTCATCTGTGCGTTGCCATGTGGCTATGGCTTACTGGCTAAAGTTTCGGCATGCCTGACTCTGGCAGCTCCATGGCTTCTCTCTGACTCCACCCTTCTTTCTCCCAGCATTCAGCCTAGCTTTCCCTGCCTACCTAAGTTCTGCCTTGCTATAGGTACAATGCAGTTTCTTTATTAATTAATGGTAATCACAGCACACAAAGAGGACTCCCACACCAAGATGCTATGTTGGAACTCAGAAGGTGAGAATATTGAGAACGGAGCAGAGGATGGAGGCCTGGCTTGTTTCAGAGAGAAGTTTGAAGATGGTATCAGGGACATTTGCTATTTTGAATTAAGATTCTGTCTTTCTGGTCAGCTGGGCCAAAGAGTCAGTGTGATTGACAGGAGACTGACACAAGTGAAGCGGACACTTTGCATTGCTGGAACAACTGAGGCTGCTTAGTTGGAGATAAGAAGTAGCAGCGATTAAAAAGAGACGGCACAGTTGAGGTGAAATCTGAGAAATTATTTGAAGGAGCCCAGAAGATCATGAGTAGATCCCAGACATTGGACATTCTGTATTTACACTCTTTGGAGTTGGGTTTTGCTTAGTTCAGATGGTGGTTGTGTGCCAGCTTTTCCCTCTTGAAGTGAGAATGTATTTAATTTAATTTTAATTTTTACATAAACCCACAAATGAAAGACTTTGAACTTTCAAAAGAGATTTTGGGTGTTTAGAGAGATTGTATATTTTAAAGAGACTGAAATTTTAGTGTGTTTGATTTTGCAAGGATTGTGGGACCTTTAAAGTTATATGTGTTTCTAATGTGAGATCTTGGAAATGAACAACAGAAGAAAGACTGTGACTTAACAGCAAAGTGTTTGTGTGTCAGATTGACAAGGGCTCAGTTGTGCTAGCTAGATTCATGTCAACACGACACAAATGATGGGCATCTAAGAGGGGAAAATCTTAACTGAGAAAACGCCCCATAAGCTAGGGCTGTGGGACACCCTATAGAGCATTTGCTTAACTAGTGATAAATGGGGAAAGGCCCAGACCACTGTGAGTGAAGCCAGCCCTGGACTAGTGGTCCTCAGTTCTATAAGAAAGGCTAAGCAAGTCATGGGGAGCAAGCCAGTAAACAGCACCCTTTCATGGCCTCTGCATCAATTCCTGCCTCTAGATTCCTGTTCTGTTTGAGTTCTTACCCTGAGTTTGATGATGAACAGGGATATTGAAGCGCAAACCAAAAAAACATTTTCCTGCCCAACTTGCCTTTTGGTCATGATGTAGTACCACAGCAATAGAAATCCTAACTAAGACAGATTGTGTAGGAACAGTGGTTCATTTCTAGAGGGTTTACGTGCCAGGCACTGTTGTAAGTCACCAGGAAACGTGACAGGTTTGTCCTCACAGCAATCCAATGCCATAGGCAATATTGCTGGGAGACATCGCTCCACAGTCATCTTAAATTTCTGCACATTTCACGTGCAAAGGCACTGGCAGTTTTTCTTTCAGGTTCTTTTCTCAAGGACGTTGGGATTACAAGCAACCTCCACAGAGATTCGCCTTTTCTTGAGCAGAAGGCAGGCTTCCTTGCTGTCTATTAGAAAAATAATGCTTCCTGCCAGAGCAAAGGTCATGCGTATTTGCTCATAGCCCACGTGAAAGAAGACAGAAAGCCTGAACTCAGAGTTTCCCAGCGCTGATGCAAACCCACTGTCCACAGGACATACCTGGCTGCTTCGTCCTGGAGATGCTGGAGGACTAGAAGAACCGAGGAAAGCTGGAAGCTGACACTGTCTGCTGTTCTCTTATATCAACCAGATAGTGGCTTCTGTCTGCACCTGTGAATCGGGCAAGCAATCTCATTAGGAGACTGAAACTCCAGAGCTTCCTAACTCTTGACAAAGGTCATCTCCCTTTACTAGGGATAAAATGGAGACCCAAGAGGTTAAGTTCTTTGCCACGTAGTGAGGGAAGGATCTGAAGTCACTGCGGGACAGCTCTGGAGCCTGTGGACACAAGCATGGCATGAGGCTGAGGACCCCACAGGACCTCATCAGCCAAATTTCAATTTAAATCCTGTCTTGAATGAAATAAAGAATTTAAAGTCTGTCTTGACTATAATAAAGCTTCCAGAACCTCATTATCTGTGGTACAGATTTTAACTTCCTAGCCTAAAGATAGTAAAACTGCTTGCTATGGGTTGGTTAACTGCTTGAACAATTAAGTCACCGCGTAGATATTGACCCAAACACAAGAGAAACTCACTCTCAGATCATACACCAGTTTGAAGCTGACTTGCCTGTTTCATGGGCGGCTCTCTACCTAAAGGAAACTCAGGAGCTTGGGTTGCTTCCTCCTTGACGCTACATCAATCCCAAGAGTCCCATCTGTTCCCAACGAGAAAGCGTGAGAGGTCAGTATCCAAACCATACTTCTTTCTTAAAAGCCATGGCCCGGAGGTGCTTTACCCTGATATGCTGTTATTGCATCAGCAAAGCAGCTCACACACTCATGTTCAGGAACAAGGGGGAGCTAATGGTCTTGGCTGTCAACTTGTCCGTTTTGAGAGATATCTCAGACAGGTGAAGCACAAGTTACAGGGGAAAGGTAGGTGCACTTCCCAAGAGGAGTGACACATGGGCCAGTAACTACTAAAGGGATGGCCTGCCCTGAATGTGGCCAGCAACTTCTAGTAGGCTGGTAGCTGAGATAAAACCGGAACTCAGAGCAAACTGGAAAGCAACTTGTAGTGCCTGTGAGCCCCTTCTGGAGTGTGTGCATCTTTTGCTGCTGCTGCCTGCTCATGTCAAACTCCAGCTTCTTGGAACTTTCTCCACTAAATCCATCCTTCAAGTTCTCCAAGGGGCTAGGCTGTCAAGGCTGGGACTGCTGGGATTTCCTGTCTTCTAGGTTGAAAATCTGGGTTTCACCTTTTCCAATGTACAAATAACCACTAATGAGAGATCTATCCTTTAATGTGTAAGCCAAGCTAGGGAATCCCTTCATTACACACACATGTGCACGCACATGCACACACCCATGCGCGCATGCACACACACACACACACACACACACACACACACACACACAGAGTATCAGTTAGTTGCTATATAGCACCCTGCCTAATACAAGGTTTTTGTCAAAATGCAGTTGATGCTTTCTAAAGATAGTTCCATGCAATAAAAAGAGAACTACATGTTGGCAGATGACTTTCCAAATGTGCTGTAGGAATATGCTCAGATTTAAACAGGCACAGTAAAATATGCCAGATTTATATCACAGGTCACTGGCTAAAATATCAGATCTGATTAGAGAGAATAAGACAAGAGACAGAACATAAGCCATGGATCTATTATAGCAACCTAGGTAAGACAGTGAGTTAAATTAGGCAATAGAAATGCAGTTGGGGGTAGGAAAGTAGGAGAAATTAAACAATATTCAGAAAAGAAAATCTTCAGGATCTTGTCTATGCTGAAGTACATCCATTCTCCTAGATAACTGTGTGTTTGTGGGCATCTTGTGATCCTGACCTTGACTGTATTTCTGTGTTTATATTCACAGCATATAAATACATCTTAAGATGGGCAAGATAGGAGAGTCTAAAGGGTCTCAAAAGACACTTGAGATAAACATACCTGAGGCTGAGATGGGGGGGGCTGAGTTGTGCTCAGTCATCTCTCAACAGATACAAACAGCAAATAACAATTTACTAATACGATTTGTATGACAATATGTGAACCATATTTCTCAGAATTTCTTATAGTCTGATGTGACTGTGTGATTGATAACTAGTAGATGTGCGATATGACACATTCTTTGTCCTAGTTTGTCCAGGACTTGGATTTTCCCTGAGTGTGGAGTTTTCCTATACTAACTGTACTATAATTTAAGGAACATTAGGTCGAACTGGTCACTCTACTGATTACCACCCTTAAAACCCTTTAAAGATCTGCATGCTGTGGCAACGGTTTGCTTTTGTTTGTTGTTTGTCTCGCTTCCACTTCCTAAGAGAGACATCTCACCAATGGTTGCAAGCTGTGTTTTGAACAGGGCAGAGCCCCATGCCAACCTGAGTGGCCACAGTAAGAAGCATCGTATTGTCGCTCTAGCGACAGTCATAACAACCATGAACTTTAATTGAGTGAAAAGTAAATTGGTGGCTTCTGACTCCTTCCTTGTTTCTATTGTCTTGCCTTTGTCCTGACTGATAGATACATATTTTGGAAACTGTCCAAGCTAGGGTTACTACTAGCTGTGAACAATGAAACACCATGGCCCATACGACGTGGGAAGGAAAAGGTTTTTTTAGCGTACACATGATTGTTTATTGTTAAAGGAAGTCAGAATAGGAGGTCAGAAAAGGGCAGGAACCTGGAGGCAGGAGCTGATGCAGAGGCCATGGAGAGGTGATGACTCTAGCCCATGCTAAGATGAAATAAAGCCAGCCAGACAACTAACTTCGTTTCAGCTTTAACACAAGCATATCACCGTTAAACCACAACCTTTCCTCTTTTGTTCATCCCCAAGATCACACTTTCATAAACATAACACAATATAAAACATTTGACAAGCCCTACAACATTTAAAAATTCAAAGACTTAAAAATTCAGTCTCTTTATAATATCCGGTCTTTTTAAAAAATTCCAAATCATGTCAGATTCAAAGTCTCTCAACTGTGGGCTTCTATAAAAATCAAAAATAAATTAAACATCTTCTTATTTCAAGAGGGATGAACCAGGATGCAGTCACAACCAAAGCAAAGCAAAATTAAACTCCAGTATAAATAACTCAATGTCCAATATCTGGGATGCACTCACAATCTCCCTCCAAAGAGTTTGGGTCCCTTCTCTGGCTCCACCCTCTGCAAAACACCCAGTTTTCCTCCTAGGCTCGGGCTGACTCCACTTGTCTGCTGCTGATGTGCCTGTGAAGTTTCAGAGGGAAATAAAAACTCTACTGGGCCATTTGTGTGACGAATCTGTGGTGTCAGGTCAGCTGGAGCTGGAGGATTGGATGTGATTAACAAGAGACCAGAACCACTAAAGTAAGACCTACGCTTTGCTGGTGTGTTGGGGTCTTCTTCGGCAATTGGGTTGCACTTTCACCAATAGCTTCTCTTGGGCTCTATTCAGGGACTCTAACCCTGCCACACAGTGCCAGCCCTTAGCTTCTCACCATAATCCCTCCATCCCCTCAAAGCCAGTACCACCTGGATGACTCTTACAATACCAAATTTGGCTACCAATAGAAGGAACAACCTTGGCTGCTTCTAGAACACAGCTTCTGTGTGCTGGCTGAGGAAGCCTTCTCAGAAGACTTCACCCTAATGACACGGGTCTCTTTTAACCCACAGCTGATTCTTCAGTCCCAACAGCAAAGCACAGGTCTTACTTTAGTGGCTCTGGTCTCTTGCTAATCACATCCTGTTTTCCAGCTCCAGCTGACCAGACACCACAGGTTCTTCACTCGAATGGCCCAGTAGAGTTCTATTTTCCTTCTGAAACTTCACAAGTCAGATCTTCGTCATCGGAGATGACTTTTCTAGCCAAAGTTCCAAAGTCCTTCTATGATCCACCCCAAAACATGGTTAGGACTTTCACAGAAATACCCCCACTATCCAGGCACCAATTTGTCTTAGTTAGGGTTACCATAGCAACACCAAAGCACCATGACCAAGTCAGCTGGGAAAGAAAAGAATTTATTTCACCCATCGTTCCTTGTAACAGTTTCTATCAAACGCAGCGAGGATAAGAACTTAAGCAGGGCAAAAACCTGGAGGCAGGAGCTGGTGCAGACGCCATAGAGAAGCATGACCTACTGGCTTGTACACCATGGCTTGTTCAGCCTGATTTCTTATAGACCTATAAGATCCATATTCTAATCAAAAATTGCCCCATACAATGAGTCCCACATTGAAAACTGCTATAAAGGACAAACTAGGGAGTTAGAATTTCCCACATGGGAGTTTGACAAGTAGGCCAGGTAGCATCTGAGTGAACACTGACAGGCCAGTGACCTCTCTGGACCCGAACTCTCATCTGGAATGCAAAGGTTAATTTTGTTTCTGAGTGTGGAGAAACCTTCCACAAGCCAGTTCTAGGACAGTCACTGGGTTTATTAGATCAGCTTATACAACGCATACTAGGTAGTCCGACAATTGTTCTCTGCAGTGGCTGAGAACCCTAGGAACTGCTCAGGAGTGCACAAGGCTGGTGCTGAAGGCCTGGGGGGTTTCTGGAGAGTGGCAGTCAACCAGCATTCAGAGGCAGCAAAGGATGGCTACAACGGAGGCTGCAGCAAGATGGATGCATTTACAAAGACTAAACCAAGAGATGTTTGGTTCCCACCCCCCCTCCAACCTTCTTATACTTGGGCCACCAGCTGATACCTGCCCTAAAGGAAGGTCATCCCCCTCGGTTAATCTCTCCAGGAAATACTTGCACATATCCACTCCAGGGCATATGCATTTGTTGTGTCCAGGTTCAATTAAGCTAACCAACATGATTAACCAATACAGCAGAATAAAACTAGAACATCATAACCTGAGGCCAAAGCAAGGGAAAAGGTGAACAAGACAGTTACATGGCTTTGTGTTCAGAGGCACAAGCAAGCAAGGGAATAATTTTGTCAGATTGCCGTCAGTTAGTGTCAGAGAATGAGGCCACTATCTATCTTATGAACAGTAAGAAGTGACATTCCCTTCTCCAATAACCATTCAAACATTTATTCAATACCTACGATATAGACTCAAGGCTGAGGAAGCTTCTGTTTCCCAGTGCCTCATAGCTCAATGGAGCATGCAATAAATAGAGATGAATACGTATTACAAGACTGAGCCAACGTGCTGACACGCAAGATGAACTTGCAGACGTGAAGACATCTCTGCTAGGCAGAATTCACAGGCCCTGGGGATTGTTTACATCTTGGGCAGGTGCTCCAAGAGCCTCGAAGGCAAGAGGTGCCGCTTATCCAGGAGCTCAGAAGGTAAATAGCAGGCTTCAGACCTCAAAGGGCAGAGTAAAATGGAAAATTGAGCGGAAATTGAGTCTGTGTAAGCTGAAGACGTGAAGACAAAGGGGTGACTTAGTGATATCCTTCAGTCAGGGAGACAGCATGATCCTGGTGACCTCGGGGAGGGCGGCTATCTCTTCTCCAGCTGGGCTTTGAGGCAGGGGGCGGGGTAAGAATCGATGGTGGCAGAAAAGCTGCACAGCTCAGCCACTATCTTCCAAACGCTTAGCAAGGGCATTTGCCTTTATAAAATGTGAAATAGTCTCAGTGCGGCAGATGCACAGGCATCACACTGGCTGGCGGCCACGGCTGGTGAGGTTATGATTTGATTAGGTGGTTTAAAGGCTAGTTCATAGGAACTGGAGCTCTTTAGAGTCAGACGCACTTAAACTGTTCCGTTTCTTGTCAAAAGTTCACAGAGTCATTTTCTGACCATTTGTAATTGGAGGGTGAAATAAAAGGCTAGAGATGTCATTTAACTGAACAAGAAAAGAAAAACGCTAGCCATCTCTTAAATATTCACTGTCCCTGGTAGTAAATGGCCATCCGTCCCTTTTCCTGACGTTCAGGAAAATTATGAAGCAGTGGACTTACAGCAGAAATTTGAGAACCCAAATGACTTGGAGAATTTAACACGCCATTTGTGGTTATTTAAAAAAAAAATAAAATGGAAGGGTTTTTTTTTCCCTACAAAAATGTGTCTCTTAAGTCAGAGGAAGCCTGAATATATAACATTCAAATTCTTAGTTACAAGAACAGAGCACTAAAGTCACTCTTAACTTCTGAGGTCAACTGACATGCAGATGGATCTCTATGCCACAAATGGAACAGCCCCCAACACCACTAATGTAGTGCAGAGACGGGAGGGGCAGGGGGGGAAAAGAAGGCAGGCTCTGGTTTCATGTCAGTGACTTCTGCCCCTAACTCACCCATCAGCTTGGCCATATCACCTCATGTGGCTTCTGAACCTCACCAAAACGACCCAAATACTTCCTTATTAGGGAGAAATCGAATCACATACCTTTCCGCCAACTGGCCCATACAATCTTCGTGATACACATACTGTTCTCTCTGGGGCTAGAAACTATTTGGCTTAGTTATAATTACTATTTAAAGTTAACATTTTATGTAACAGATTCTACCAACAAAAGATGTTTATCTTGCAGTCATTGGGAGGCCCTTTGGAATTCTGGTCCTGGTTGATCAGCTCTTGGCTGTCACATCAAAATGTCATTAGATGAGTTGAAAATCCTCTGGGGTGTTTCTTTAAGAAGATAAAGGACGGCTCCTAGCCAAAGGGAGATACTCTGAGGATTGCATTTTGGAAACCATGGGCTGCAACATAAACACAATCCACTTATTTAGCCCCAGCCACTGCCCTGGACAAAGACCAGAGAGGGTACATCCCAGATAGGAGGCTCCAGGAGCCCACAGGGTCGGCAGGTTTACATTAGGGAATTCTAAGCAGATGACTGGTGTTTATTCTAATTTCTAAAACTCACCCTGGCCAAGATACAAAAGCACATTAGGATCTGCAGAGCTCCCTGAGTTGTGGACTATGTTGCCTGGGTGCCAAAACAAAAGGCAGGTTTCACGACTGCAAACAGTCAACTAAATCTAAGGCTTGACACCACATGAAACTATACAGCAGCCTGTGCTCCACCAAAGGCAGAATTTTCCAACTTTTCTCTTTTTCTTTCTTTTTCCCTTCTTCCTTTTTTAAAATAAAACTTATCTGGACACTGTACAGATAATGTTGAGGGTCTAAAATTTAAGTTCGTGTGTGTGTGTGTGTTTAAGAGAAAAGTCTCTTTCTTTACTGCAAGGGGCAGTGGGCTGGGCAGTAGCAAGAGCACATCTAAGCAGCCCTTCTATGCTTTTGATGGGCTGAGTGACTTGAGGTCTTTTCCTTTTTATAAAGCTGTGGGTTCAATTCTTGATTGCAATGTAGAGTCAATGGTTACCCTCTGAGCCCTCAAGAAATCTCTTCAAGGTTACTGGGTATCTTTTGCAGAATCCGTTTAAACCCAGGGAAATGGAACTTGGTCATAAGCAGCCAGGACCAGTGGACAGTCCTGAGCAGGAGGAACAGGAACAACGCCCCTGCAACCTGTTCTTTCTCCCTGGGAAGCAATTTCACTCTCACCCTCTTTAAAAAGAAGGCTTAGGTGGATGAGTGCATTGCAGATACCTAATCCAAGGAAGGCTGGAATCTAGATCTTCACTCCTACATAAGGGAAATGGGAAAGGAATAGAATTCCTATATATAGAATATCTCATTATTCAAAGCACCATAGTCAACTAAAATACGACAGGTGTTGCCCCCAACACTAGGATTTCTTCTGCTTTACCTGCTATTATAGGGATGAATAGAGTAGGGAATTGGCTGGTATGGATTGACTAGCAACTAGAGCGTGAGCTCTAAATTCAAATGAATGCATCTGTCAGTAACAATCATCTGTTGAAGGCAGATATGAGGACCAGCATGGATATGTGCTGTACGGCACTGTTAAATCAGCAGCCTAGAAATGGAAGAGGCCTTTCTCAGCTAGCATCACAGTTCATCTTGGTGACATCAAATGGAACTTTATACCAGATACAGCATAAACCTTCTTCCTTGGCCAAATGTTTTGTATTTTGTGAAATATGCCTCTACTTACATTGCCCCTTTTTCTCATGCCAAAAAAAAAAGTTTTTAAAAACTCTACTCTGAAAAAAATCAAACCAGCAATAAATATCATGAGGAAAACATTCTATGTATTTATGTCCATCAGGTCTGTAGACTAAACTGCTCTGAATTAACTATAACTGAGTCTCCTTCGAGTGCCCCATTAAAACACTCATAAATTAAAAAAAAAAAAAAAAAGCTGCCTTAATCCATGAGCCCTCTATAGGCTAAACAGGGCAACACTAGAAGAATTCTCATTAGTGTCAGGAATAAGAAGATTCATCAGTGCTCCATTGCTGCTCGACGTCACTGTGGGGGTTGAGGTCCTGGGAAACCAGGTCAAATACAGACACGACTAGAGAAGAGAAATGAGAAAGCCAAGCACAGCAATGCACACCTTTGATTCCAGAGCTGACGAGGCAGAGGCAGGCACGTGCGTTCCAGGCCAGCCTGCTCAACAGGGTGAGTTCAAGGCCAATCAGCCATAATGAAATTGTGTTTCAAAAACATTTTAAATTATAGAAAATAGAATTCTAGAAAGAATCATCATTTCCTTATAGTCCAATTGTATTACATCCCACAAATCCAAGAAAAGAATAACTTTGTTAATAGTAAGAGAATTGAATAATGAAGCCAGGTACAGAATTAATAAATTAACAGGGTGACAAGAAAACCAAGAGATGTCTTAGGGGTAAGTTTTACTTATATAATAACAAAAATGATGAGAACAACAAATGTATTAAATAAATTAATAGTGTGTACATACGATTTATAAGAAAGAAAATGTAAGGCCTCCTGGGATACAGGAAAGAAGGCTGTAGAAATTATATATTTCTGTTTGTGAAAATTATTCATGAACAAGTGAAAAAAATCACGCTATTGCTTTGGTAATACAGAAGTCAAGGCTCCTGAATCAAATCACATTTAGACTGCTCCAAAAGGCAGATTTACCAGAATATCTTTTATCTAGATATCTGCTTTAAGACATTCACTTGCCAAATTATCCTGAGAAATTCTGTAGTTTTGAGTGATGGCTGGGATAATTCTGCTAGAGCGAAAAGATAAACATGAAACAAGAGTTGATTCAGAACAGTGGAATTCTAAACATTATAAGGTAGTTGGTAAATAAATATGGCTCATTTTTAGCAACAAAATATAGAAGTATAAATAAATGCTTTCCCTTTTCTTCTAAACGGAAGAAAAATGCAGGATGAGAACACTGGCAGTGCAGCCTGCACCGGTGTGGGATTCCACAGTTCTAGGTGCTCACCAGGCAGAGTCTCATTCTAACCATTTCAGGATCTTGATGAGGCAAGATATCTCTTGGAAAGTGTAAATCGTCGATGTTGTATCTAGAAACAGAAAGGCTGAACTGACCAACGACAAGGAATGAGCAAAACTGCTCTCGAGGATTACCTCTTCGAAGCTTCCACGCGATGATTAATTTCCAATGACCTCCTTTCAAACTCTCACAGCATCACAAATTTTCACACTACGTCTGATACAGATGAAATGATGGTCACCTACTACGTCACAAAACTAGCAGACTAGCTCACACATCGTGAGCTGCTGGGATTGATTTAGATTTTGAGTATGAAAAATAATATACTATAAGTGAATTATTCGTGTATAAGGATAAATCACAGAAAAATAAACTCAAAATGTATTTAAAGTTTAATTGTTTATATATTAAAATATGAATGCTTAAGAAATCTACTAATGCATTGTATAAGTGAAATATGAGCAACTGTAATTTTAATTTCTCTTAGACATTGGTTAAATGCCAATGTCTATGCCTGTTTTGTTTTTTTAAAAAAGGTAACAAGAAATATTACCTTACCACCTTACGATCACAAAATAAATAAATAAATGAACAACGCCATATATACCTGTAAAACATAAGAGGCATGGCTTTAAAAAGTAGAGATGAGCATCTTTGTCTAGATGGCTATTTGGATGTGTTTTGTAGACCTTGGTCCACACAAAGAAAAAAAGGAACTGAAGGAAGTAGCAAAATGATTTAATATAAGGATATGACATCCCGATTGCTTATAAATTGGGTGAGTAGATAATTACCCAGTCTGAGAAAAATCAATAAAACTATTTGAATTCATTAAAGATTTTAGTAAAGCAAGCAAGTGCTTTTCCTTAGCAGTAAACATGAACACTTATATGCCTGTAGGGCTGCCTCCATGCCCAACGGCTGCTACTGCGGAAGGCACCAGAGCACTGCCTTACCTGTATGCAGAGAAGCCAGATGGGAAAAGAACGGAAAAACCTGTCCCTGCAGGAGCAGTTCTCTGAGTTTGAAAATTAAAAGCAAAAGCAAATAACAGGCAGAGGGGTGAGTACTTTTACTTCTCCCTGGTCAATAAAGACCTTTACAAATAAAATTCCGCTGAAAGGGAAAAGACAAACATAATTCAGTGTTTGGAAATTTGAAGTGCAAAAGGTTTTAACGGCGTAATATGAAAGAAAACCCAGAAACAGGTGGTGTGGTGGTCATACAAACAGCAGCACCAGGGAATCTGAGGCAGGGGGATTTCTACAAGAATGGTCTGGACTGTATAAGCAAGCTCAAGGCAGCCTGGACAGCACAGGGAGCCCTGTCTCAAAAGAAACAAAAATACCATTAAACAAAATTGAACTAGAACAAAGAAAAGTACTTACGACATGTAAGTTCATTGATATTCTCACCATAATAGTCCTGATAAACCATGAGACAAACAACCCAAGAGGAAAATGGGCCA